GGGTCGCGGAGGCCACAGCGCCCCGGGCGGCCGCCCACCGGCCCGTGCTGAGCTCCACGGGCCCTTCCAGGAGCCTGGGGACAGAGGGCCGCGGGGAAGCCTGAACGAATGCGCGGGTCGCGGGGGGTGGACGGGAGACCGGAGGGGCCCCGGAACCGACCTGTGGGTGTTCCTCCCACAGAACACAGATGCGTGGAATCCGCGAAGATCCGAGCGAAATATCCTGACCGCGTTCCGGTGAGTGTTTACACTCCCCGCCCCCTCACCTGGCTGTCACCCCTGTCGTCTAGGATCCGTGATCGGGCGTCTAGGACCCAGGATAAGGCCCTAGAATATTCAACAGTTGACAGGTCGAGGTTCCAGGCCCAGCTATAGTAGCAGACAGGCCAGACTGGGTTGGGGCCGTCCTGGCCGGGCCGTGAGGGGCTCTGCTGGTGCTGTTCAGGGTGCCTCAGTGCTGAATCTCCCGATCTAGGCCAGCAAGCCGTCTGCAGCCCCAGGGCTCCCTCGCCAATTATGTAAGGAACGATGTTCTAGGACAGGGCAACAGGTCACTGCCACTTTTGGGAACAGTAGTGGAGAGAGGCCGTCACTTAGGTCTTGGACGTGATACTTTAGTTTCAGGACATTCATCTTTAACTTACAGCTTCCATCTTAACTTACAGTTCCCTTTTCTCCTTCTGGCCCTGTCTTCCTTGCCTCATTCAAAACTCCAAAAGTCTCTGAAAACTCATGTTTCCACCTTAATCGATATTAACTGTGATTTCATATTTCTTCCATGGCGGGGGAGATAGTTTCTGTACTCCTTGTTGATTTTTTTTTTTTTTTGGAGAGGTTTTTGCTGTAGGGCGTGTGCACTTGTCTGAAAGAGAGAGAAAGAGAGACAAAGAGACAGAAAGCGAGAAATCACCCCCCAGGGGGGATGGCCACACCTTAATCCCTTCTCCTCCATTCTCATCTTGGGATCTGGGGCGTGCAGGCACACATGCCCTGCATGAGTTTAAGCCTCCGGGTCCGGGACTCGAACCATGGTCGACTACATGAGGGTTCAGCGACATAGCCATTATGCTAACTGCTAGTCCCCTCCTTGTTGATTTTTAAAAGGATGTCAAAATCTGCTGTTGTAGATCTTAGCTTGGGAGCAGGAGTGGCGAATTCAAAACCTGTTCAGGGAGAAGTAACAGACCCACTGGTTGTTGACTAGCTTGTTTTGCAAGGTAGTCCCATTAGTTCATCCATTTTCCTCTCCTGTGTTTCTTGGGGTCTTAATTCTTCTGTAGTATGAAGTAGATCCATTCTGGGGTCCTAGAGTAGCAGGCTGTGGGTGAGACTATCACCAGATAGTCTGGATCCGCCCAGGTTGATACAGAAAAGCTTAGTAGTAAGGGCCGTATTTCTCTTATGCATCAGGGATGAGAGATATAATTGACCACAGAAAAGCACTTACTGTTTCTTTATAACACATTTATATCAGTTCTTAGCCTCCAGAGTGTGTGGTTTATTAAGCTGAGGGCATATTTTTCTTGTGCTGTTCAGTTTCCCACCGACCTCCTTGCCCACAGTCTGGTCTTCACCTCTCTGACAGTGCGGGACCAGAGCCTCACTTCAGGAAATCCAGTCCTGACCTCTCTTTACCTTCCCAGGTGATTGTGGAAAAAGTCTCAGGCTCTCAAATTGTTGACATTGACAAACGGAAGTACTTAGTTCCATCTGACATCACTGTGGCTCAGTTCATGTGGATCATCAGGAAAAGGATCCAGCTTCCTTCTGAAAAGGCAATCTTCCTGTTTGTGGATAAGACAGTTCCACAGTCCAGGTGAGAGATTTTTACTAGATGGGCCCTCTGGTAGATGGCTTGGCTGCTTACAGAACTCAACTTGGGAGGTTTGGAGACTTTTTTTTTTTTTAAGGTTTTTGCCATGGGGTGTATGTGTGCTTGTCAGAGAGACAATGAGAGGTAAAGTGAGAAATCACCCCCTAGGGGGGATGGCCACATTGCATTGTGATTTTCAAACTGCCAGGTCCAGAACTCAAACCTTCATCAGCCATGTGGGAGTTCAGCTTTAATCACCACACCACCTGTTGGTCCTGGTCTGGAGATTCTTAGGGTTCCTGACTAGAAATCTGGATTTAGTGCTCCTCGGCATCAGGAGTGCCAGAAAATAAAAAAGAGCTGCCGTATAGGGAAGTATATTTTGGGTTAAGAAAATGGAGCAAGACCACATGGCCAGCTGAGTAGTTTGAGTCTGAGACCTGGCGGCTTGAGAAACATGCTGGGCATGTGTGTGTGTGCGCCAAGTTCCAAGAGGAGAATGGAGACGGGATTGTGGTGTGGCCACCCGCCTGGGGTGGTTTTTTCTTTCTTTCTCTCCCTTTTTCTCTCTCTTTCTGGTGAGTGCACATTCCCCATAGCAAATTTAAGAAAAAAGAAGGAAAGAAAGACTTGGACTTGAAAAAAAAGATGAAGCACAGCTTCAGAACTGTAGGAATCTTTTATGTTGAGGGCTTATTGAGGCTTAAATCACAGGTAGAGCCGAGGCCTGACGCGAGGTTCTCTCTATATGGTCCATGAAATCAGCCTGCCACTCTCTGCCAGGAGCCTGTGGGCCCTGCTGAGGCTCAGCTCCAGCTGATCCCCCCGCATGTTTGCTCTCCAAACTCAGCTCTTTGCTCTGTGAGCATCTATAGCTGCCTTCTTTTCAGTCTGATGCGATGGCTGCTGTCCAGTGAAGGGCTCTGAGATCTCTTTACAGATAGGCTTCCCTCTGTAAGATGTGCTCTATTACGCCGTTGTGCTGCCTTGGTGTACGGCAGTCCTTAGGATTGTAATACAGGGCCGGAGTCTAGGCAGCAGCACTGTGTGGGTCTGCTCTTCTGGGTGGTTGAGGCTTAAATGGAAGGGCTCAGTGTAAACCCGGCCCAGACCTGTGCTGTTAGTGACTGAGTACGTCTAGTCTCTGAGCTGGGTTTTAGTCCCCACCTCTTCACTGAATGTGAGTTCCTGGCCACCTCTTATCTTAATGATCTAAACTAGGTTTCATTTGTTACTAAAGTTAAGGCTTTCAGAAACTCTGGGAATGAGCTCAGTGTTGCCAAAATAGGTTCTTGTTGAAAATTCTTGACAGCTCCAGAAGAAGCCTAATCTGAATTCCAGACCTTATTTCTACTGAAGGTTAAAGCTCTGGTTAATTTTTGGTTTAATTTATTCTTTTCTCACCAGCTCCACTTCCTGGTGTTTGGTAGAGAGGAAGGGCGGGAGAGCAATGGAAGCTTCTTCCTTAGACCAGTGTCCGGCTTAAGGAGAAAGGCCAGAACCTGCTCACTGGGTAGCTCCATAAGTTGTGGTGTCACTAGAGATGATCATGTCACCCCTCTGGCTCTTGTAGCGCCCCTTCATAGGCCCCAGGCCAGTGTGTTGTTGGGTGTACTTATCTTTCACCCTAAGGCAGATTACACAGGACCCAAGTAAGTATTTCAGGAGAAAATCACTGGGAATCCAAATCACTTGGAATCCAAATCCTGTTCTTTCAGAATTGAGAATCGCCTGCCAGTGGCTGCTCTGCCCAGGCTTTCAGCACTTTTGGCCCTGGTTAATGACTTTTTGCACCACATTTGATGTGTTTGTTTTTTGGGAAGGTTTTATTTATTTATTTATTTATTTATTATTTTAACTTTGGGGATAAATGCACTTCCCAGAGAGGGAGAGAGAAAACACCTCCCCCCAGTGAGATGTGATTATGCTACAGTCCCTTTTCCTCCATTTCTCCATCCTGTTGGGATTTTGAGCATATATGCACACATGCCTGGTATGTTTTTCAAGCTGCCAGGGCAGGATTCCAACCGTGGATAGCCATATGGGTTCCAGTTCCCTCAACACTAGGCCACGGGGCTAGTGTTTTATTCTTAAAAACACATTTGTTTATAAACAAGAGGCATGTGACATCATCAGGCTTTATGCAAATATTAATTATTCTGTGGCAGCACAAACAGAAGTACCACAGGGTCTCCTTCCTGGAGTTGCGTGTGACTCAGCTTCACCATCCCCTCCATGAGACAAAATTAGCAGTCTCTCTCTTTTAGGTCTTTCCAGTCTCCTTAGGAGCCTCCCATAAAATCCTGTTCTTGCAGAATTGAGAATCCCCTGCCAGTGGCTGCTCTGCCCAGGCTTTCAGCACTTTTGGCCCTGGTTAATGACTTTTTGCACCACATTTGATGTGTTTGTTTTTTGGGAAGGTTTTATTTATTTATTTATTTATTTATTATTTTAACTTTGGGGATAAATGCACTTCCCAGAGAGGGAGAGAGAAAACACCTCCCCCCAGTGAGATGTGATTATGCTACAGTCCCTTTTCCTCCATTTCTCCATCCTGTTGGGATTTTGAGCATATATGCACACATGCCTGGTATGTTTTTCAAGCTGCCAGGGCAGGATTCCAACCGTGGATAGCCATATGGGTTCCAGTTCCCTCAACACTAGGCCACGGGGCTAGTGTTTTATTCTTAAAAACACATTTGTTTATAAACAAGAGGCATGTGACATCATCAGGCTTTATGCAAATATTAATTATTCTGTGGCAGCACAAACAGAAGTACCACAGGGTCTCCTTCCTGGAGTTGCGTGTGACTCAGCTTCACCATCCCCTCCATGAGACAAAATTAGCAGTCTCTCTCTTTTAGGTCTTTCCAGTCTCCTTAGGAGCCTCCCATAACTCACACTAACAGCTGTCCAAGTGGCTGGGGAAGTCAGAAAGGATGTCCAGACCTATAGGAGCCCCGTCTTCTATAACTGCATTAGGATCACTTGTGCCTGAGGCTGAAAAGGAGGACTGTCATTTATTCTGTTGTCGGAAAAGAACAGCTTTGTAGAAATAATGCAGTTTATTACTAAGCACAAAATTTAGTGACATGCCTTGAGAAAGATAAGCATGATTCTGGGGGTGCTGCGATATGGAGGTTTCTTTTATAGTTCTCTTTTATAGTTCTGAGGGCAAAAGAGTTGTAATCAGCATCAGGAGTCATTTACATTGGCCTGGAGCAGAAAGATGGGGCATCCGGAAGCAGAGGCTTGTAGGTTACAGATGAGTTTGAAATTCTTAGGTTGGTGATTGAAAAAGAAGGTCTTTGTCTCAGAAAGAGATCAGCAAAAGAATGTTTGTGATTTACTTTAACAGAGATAAGAAGGCTTACTCTACACTAATACTGATAAGTGTGGGACCAGCAGGTGGCAGAATGGTTAAAGCCGCTGGACTCCCACATTGCTGATCAAGGTTCGAGTCCTGGACCCAGTGGCTTGAAACTCATGTCAGGCATATGTGTGTGCGTGCTCAAAATCCCAGGAGAAGGGATTGCCACCCTCCCCTCAGGGTGATTTCTCACTTCCCACTCACTGTCTCTGTCTCTAGTGGGTGCATGTGCCCTAGGGCAAAAACTGAGAAAAAAAATTTGTAGGTGTGACCCTCCCCCCAGGCCCTCTGGAAAGGATTTTGGAAATAGGAAAAAGTAGTCAGATTATGTCCTCATTCCTTCCTTGGAGTAGAACACAGGCAATCACCGCGTAGTATCAAGCGTTAGAGTAGTTAATGTTAAATACTGATTCTAGAAATAGAGACAGAGGTAAGTCCCTGGGAGTTTTACTTCCTTTATTCTTTTCTAAGTTCTTGTTTCTTTAAAAAAAAAAAAAAAAGGGAGGAAATTCAGCCTTTTCCCACTCAACATTGGAAAATTAAGTTCTCTGCATAGGTTCCTGTGTCAATAATCTGGCCAAAAACAGAAGGGGAACTATGTCTTGGTGTAGACTGAGCTTGGGAAAGAACATCGGTGTACATTTCCCAGTCATGGCTTTGGAGGGGAACCCAGACCTGGCAGGGGCCTTTGCTTTTTGTTTGTAACACATACAAGAGTCTTGTTAGTCCTCTGTTTGTTTATTTTTCTTTAAAGGGGCTTTTTGCTTTAGGGTACGTGCACTGGCCAGAGAGAGAGTCAGAGAGGGAAAGTAAGAAATCACTCCCTGGGGAATGGCCATGCCTCAATCCCTTCTCCATTCTCCTCGGATCTTGGGCACACATGCACCTGCACCCAGCGTGATCTTTCAAGGGACCAGGTCCTGGACTGGAGCTGTGGTCGGCCATGTGGGAGTCAAGCGACATAATTGCTACGCCATCTGCTGGCCCAGTCCTCTGTTTAAAATAGAAATAGGAGTATATTATTAAATAAAATATCCCTAAGATATTATAATCTGACACTGTGAAACCTGTGTGGTATAAGATTATGGTGTTTAGTTGCTTCTGGATCTTAAAGAGGGCTTAAATAAAAGGCAGTTTTGGGACCAGCAGTTAGCGTAATGGCTATGTCGCTGGACTCCCATGTAGTCGACTATGGTTCGAGTCCCGGACCCGGTGGCTTAAACTCACGCCATGTGTGTGCGTGCCCAAGATCCCGAGAGGAGAATGGAGGAGAAGGGATTGCGGCGTGGTTGGCGGCGTGGCCACCCCCCCTGGGGGGTTGATTTCTCGCTTTCTGTCTCTGTCTTTCTCTATCTGGCGAGCGCATGCGCCCTGTAGCAAAAACCTCTCCAATAAAAATAAAATGAAAGGCAGTTTTAGTCTCAGTCATCCTTTCTTTAGAAATTGTGCTTAAATTGGTACTTTTGATCATTTACAGGTAAACACCTCTTTTTTTTTTTTAAGAGAGATTTTTGCTATAGGACATGTACGCTCACCAGAGTTTGAGTTTTAAACCCACCAGGTCCGGGACTTGAATTACGGTCGACTATGTGGGAGTCCAGCAATGTAACCATCTGCTGGTCCCATTAAACAC